GACGTCTGTCCAGGGCTTCAGCTTTCCCGTAGCCTTTGTTCCAGAACATCAAGATGACAGTAGAAATGTTTCTACTGCCGGAAGGAAAACATTATCAGAAATGGCTTCACTGAGGAGCTGGTGTTCCATCTTTCATGTCAGGTAACAATAGCCAAGCAATTCTGAGAACTGAAAGAGGCTAGCCATCATTTTAAAAACAGCAGCTTTTCTGCCAAAACAGTAATTCGTGTTTATTATTTTTTAGAAAATGGGACATACGAAAGCATTAGAAGAATGACTCTTTAGAACCCGCCAGTACAAAAATAACCATTGTTCCTTTTAGTTGTTACTTATAGGGTACATTTTTAAATAACAATAGCAAACACTTGTTGAAGCCACTCTCTGTGCCAGGAAGTCTTTAGGCACTTTCTGTGCATTATCTTATTTTTCCTCACAACTACTCTTTGAAGAATCATTATCTCCATTTTACAGAGGAGGAAACCGAGGCACAGAGAGGTGAAATCACTTCTCCAAGATCCCACAGCTCTTAAGAGTGGTGCCAAGGATGGAAACCAGAGCAGTCTGCCTCCAGAGCCCAGCCCTTGACTATTCCTGATACTATCTCACAGTGCAAACCAGACAGACATGGGTCTGGGCTGCCTGTCACTACTTGAGCCAATTAAACAGAGACGGGGTTGAATCATATATACTCCTTTATTCCAATATTGCCGGCAATATGGGAGGGCAGCAGGTTGACAAAAGTCTGATCTGTAGCCCACCGTAAGCCAGCACTTATATAGATAGAAGTACAAAGGAAAAGTAGGCAAAAGGGCAGTTTACTGATAAGCAAAAGGACTGGGGACCTTCAAAGGGCTGGCAATTCTGGTTCCTTAACAAATCTTTGTTAATCTTTCCATGATAACAGGCAGCTCCAAATGGGGAGGAAGGGCTGCTTCTCCAGGGCAGCTCCAGCCAGGGTAGAGTATGCCTTCTCTTGAATCAGAATAAAACAATCACAGTGAACAGAGCATGGTTAATATTTCTTACACTGTTAGCTGGTTCCCCAACATTCTATTTCTACCCCGCTTTCAACAGTAAAGATGCATTTCATGGAATGGGATTACATTTCTTGGAATTCTGCAGTGTTAGCTCTGAGTTGTCTGGTTCTATCTCCTTTGTCCATAATTAGGAAATCTAAATCCACAGATGTGATTTGATTCACCAAAGAACAACATAGCTGATGTATGTCAGTGCCGGAACTGAAACACATATGTCTCCTGGCCCACACAGTCCACATGCATGCGGTCGGCTCCAGGGATTGGTGACCCTTTGTCCTCTTCCCCAGGTCTCAGCCCTAAAACAGCTGCCCTCAGTGCTGAGTCCAGATTAAAGGGAGGACGGAGGCCCCTCATGCTTTCTTCCCAGCGTGTGCATGAAGTTTCAGTTTCTGTTCAGGGAGTGTATGGGCATCTCGGGGTGATGTGTTAACTGACTCTCAATTTTTTGGCAGCTTGAGATTATAAGGCTGCAAAGAGTGGCCCAACAATAGGTCCAACTTTTTACCCTTATCAAACATTTCTAACTGAGATTTGAGGACAAGCATTAAGAGTGATTGATTTGAGCTTTAAATGTAGTAGCTTTTCCTGACCTGGATTCTCGTGAACATGTCAAGCATTATTATAGAGTCAGCCAGCCCTCTGGGCATAAACACGCCTGTGTCTCTGAGGCTGCCCTGGCCAGCAGCCTGTAGGAGAGCGAGGCCATTGTGTTGAGATGCCGGAGTTGTTGGGTGGCCAGCTGCCGTGTGGTTGAGAATTAATGGAGGAAGAACAGGTGAGGACTTAACCTCTGCGATTGGTAAGGTATAGAAACCTCTTGTTTCTTCAGACTTCTCAATGGAGAATACAAGCAGGTTGTTTGGGGTTTTTGTTTTCGTTTTTGTTGTTTTTATTTTTTTAATAACTTTATCCTACTGAGCACAAGGAGGGCAGGAGCAGGTTCTTGTGAATCTCACAGTGTAGAGGGGGAAAAAAGGTGAGAATGCTGAGGTCATGTGTATGGTTACCTCTGGAGGTGAGGATGATGCAGTTGTGACTGAAAGGGGCATGAGGAAGTTTCCCTTCTGTTTTTTCAACTGGGTCCTAGTTACATAATACATTCAGTTTGTGGAAATTCACTGAGTCTTAAATTTATTAAATGTGCTCTTTTCTGACTCTAAGTTATACTTAAAAGTCTTGATATATGCTTGTGTATGTTGTTGCACCTGATCTCCATTTAGTTGGATCATTGTGAAATGATGTAGAGTTTATTACATGGGTATTAGAAAAACAACTCTACCTCTGTGTGGGCCAAACTTCCAAGGTTTTTTTTTTATTCTATTAAAATGTATCTTAAATGACTCCAGTGTAGATTCTCCTGAATGACGTCTTCATGCAAACATTCAGAGACAGCCTCCTGTGAATAGGGGCCATGCCAGCATGGGCTGGGCACAGGTATGACCCATCTCCCCATGCATGAGTGAAAAAGGAGGATAGAGGAGGATAACAGAAGGAAACGGCAGCTTTCCAGGGGGAATGGGACAAACTCCATGGAAGAAGTGGCATTTGAAATGCATATTGCAGCACATGTAGGAGTTGAATTAGCAGAGGTGAATGGGTAGCAAGCATTGCAAATACTAGACACGGGGAAATCTATAGAAAATTCACATACATTCACATAACTCAACTTTGAGTTACTTGGGTCACATAACATAACCAGGATCCATCAGGTACAGGGTGAGGCCTGAAAGGTGAGCTAAGGCCTTACAGTGGCCAGGTTGTATTATTCTAATTGGGAGGCATTAGAGAGCTAAAGAAAGTTTCTGAGAAGTAGAGAAGCACGAGCAAATTAGATATCTTCAATGACATAATTTTCCCATTTTGTGGTTGTACAGTTACCCTGTCTGCCCAAAATAAACATTTGCTAGGTTTAATGCATGCCTTATTGCTGTAACTTAAGCCCATTCCTTTTGGGGTCCATTAGGGCGCCATCCTTGAGTTTCCTGTACTCATCTATCTAGGACTTGATGACTATTACATACTTTCTTTAGTCCCTGCACCCATCCTTCCCTCTTGACCAGCTGGTTACTATTCCTTTATTCTTTTTTCATACACCCTGTTTTCTAGTCTGATAGTGATTTGACATTAAGTTCCTTCCAGCCTGATTCTTTTCTGCCAGATAAAACAACCAGTATCACTTACCCAAGGCAAAATGGTATGTGGGAAGATGGGGCCAAGGAATAATGGTAACAGATTTTGTAAGTTATAGAGGAGGCCTGCCCCACCAGTCTGGGTGTATCCCCCTGTGCTTCTGGGATCCCTTCTCTGGGAAAAAGTACTGGGTGGCATTTTTCATATGGCAAACTGTTAATATTCATTCACTCAAGTCTAGACCAGGCCACTTAGGCAGTGTGCAATCTATTAAGTAATTATCTTAATAATTTTTGCTATGTCAATGTACTGTCCCCTTTTAAAACAAAAAAGGTAATTTGGGCTGAATATTGTATTGTCTCCCATGTGAGAATCTATATCAAGGCATTATTTTAATCAAAGGGTTGTTAACTTGACAAATAAGATGTTTCAGTTTAGATCTTATAAATCTTTGTTTAGAGGATGTATTCAGAGTCTACCAAGACCTGGTTTTGGTTCTCTGGGGACACAAGTGTGAGAGTGCCTTGATATGGCAAGAGGACCTGAGTTAGGGTGATTTGATTCAAATCCTGACTCCTTGAAGTCTCAGTTTCTACTTAGTACACGGATTTAACACATTATTTGCCTGGTGTGATAGAGGATCAAGTAGAACAGCCCTGTGAGCATCCACTGTGCCTGGCACAGACTGCATTTGCCTTCCCTTTTAGAACACAGACTAGTACCCCACCTACCCACCCACCTTCCCTGCCAACATGATCACTTCACCGTTCTTTTCCCAGGCGGCCATTGAGTAAGAAAGCTATTTCACATGGTCTTAATATTAGTACTGTTTTTTTAATCACCTTGGTTGTGGTTTATGGTTGTTTCCACATCTAAATATTGTTGTATTGCTCAATTATTAAAATTAATCTTGCACCATATTGTTTCATCACATCTGTTAATTATTTCATTAAGAAAATAAGTTCTTGCCTGGCTGGTTGAGCATTGACCCATGAACCAGGAGATCACCTGATGTTTGATTACCAGTCAGGCATATGTCCAGGTTGTGGGGGTAAGGGAGCATGCAGGAGGCAGCTGATCAATGATTCTCTCATATTGATGTTTCTAGGTCTCTCTCCCTCTACCTTTCTCTCTGAAATCAATAAAAACATTATTTTAAAAGAAAATAATTTATTGTATAGATGAATGTACCTGCTAGAACTTTACTTTTATTTTTCTCTTCTTTTTTTCTTTCATTCTTCTTCTATTTAATGATTGAGTTCTCACTTGGATGCACTTCCCACAATGGTGAATGGGGCATGACAAGCATCCCTATTACTTGGGCACTTTGGGAAACCTGGACTGACTGGTAACCTCATTCTATGCATTTCTCCCCTGCCAACCAAACATTGCCATCAGATCAGACAGAAAATTGGATGCGCCAAAACTGGTTTGGCTCAGTGGATAGAGCGTTGGTCTGCGGACTGAAAGGTCCCGGATTGGATTCCGGTCAAGGGCATGTACCTTGGTTGTGGGCACATCCCCAGTAGGGGGTGTGCAAGAGGCAGCTGATTGATGACTCTCTCTCATCAATGTTTCTAACTCTCTCTCTCTCTCTGTAAAAAAATATATTTAAAAAGAAAAGAAAATTGGATGCCCTGGAGACTCTGAATCTCACAGTAGTGTACATGGATATGGGAAGGAGTTGGACTGTTGTCTTGTATTCAACTTAAGATGATAGTAGGGAGGTTTTTTTTAAACTGGCACTGAAGTATGTCTGTTGTGAGCACAGGTTCTATCACAGTGACTCTCTTTTAGACTTCAAACCTTACAATTACTTCTGCTCTTTTCCAGGTGGAGCGCCATGACATGAATACCCTAAGCCTGCCCCTGAACATACGCCGAGGCGGGTCAGACACCAACCTCAACTTCGATGTACCAGATGGCATCCTGGACTTCCACAAGGTCAAGCTCAATGCCGACAGCCTGAGACAAAAAATTCTAAAGGTGACGGAGCAGATCAAAATCGAGCAGACATCCCGGGACGGGAATGTTGCAGAATATCTTAAACTAGTCAACAGCGCTGACAAGCAGCAGGCTGGGCGTATCAAACAGGTCTTTGAGAAGAAGAATCAGAAATCAGCTCACTCCATTGCCCAGCTGCAGAAGAAGTTAGAGCAGTATCACAGAAAGCTCAGGGAGATCGAACAGAACGGAGCCTCCAGAAGCTCCAAGGACAACCTGAAGGATATCCAGCACTCCCTGAAAGATGCCCAGGCCAAGTCTCGAACTGCTCCGCACAGCTTGGAGAGCAGCAAGTCAGGCATGCCGGGGGTCTCCCTCACTCCACCGGTGTTTGTCTTCAATAAGTCCAAAGAGTTTGCCAACTTGATCCGGAATAAGTTTGGCAGCGCAGACAACATTGCTCACTTAAAAAATTCCTTAGAGGAGTTTAGGCCCGAGGCGAGTGCCAGGGCCTATGGGGGCAGCTCGACCATCGTAAATAAACCCAAGTACGGCAGCGACGACGAGTGTTCGAGCGGCACATCGGGCTCCGCTGACAGTAATGGGAACCAGTCGTTCGGGGCCAGCGGAGCGGGCACACTGGACGGCCAGGGGAAGCTCACCATGATCCTGGAGGAACTGAGGGAGATCAAGGACACCCAGGCACAGCTGGCCGAGGACATCGAGGCCCTGAAGGTGCAGTTTAAGAGAGAATACGGTTTTATTTCTCAGACCCTGCAAGAGGAGAGATACAGGTATTATTTCAGACAATTCTCTTAGAATTTATTTGGAAGCATGAGTTACTAATTGCAGAGAGATTGCTTAACAGTGATACGCTAATGGTTGTTCTTTTCATAAAGAGGAATACGGGTCAAAAGGCATTCCGGCCCAGGCCGGTGTGGCTCGGTTGAGCAACATCCTGTGAATCAAAAGGTTGCATGCTCCTCTCTCACGTAGATGTTTTTCTCTATCTCTTCTCTCTCCTTTCCTCCCTCCCTCTCCTCTCCCTTTTTTCCTTACTCTCTAAAATCTATACAAGCACATTCTTGGGTGAGAATAAAAAACAAGTGTATATGCCCACCATTTTACCAATAAAAGGATCCTTCAAAGGTTTTTTTTGGTCTAAATGAATATGTTAACTTACAAAATTGTAGATTGAAAAAGTAAATACCTATCACATATTGTAAGATTTAAATTTTAGCTTACATGTTTTATATCTGGTACATTTATATATGTATTAATTTAGGAATGTGGCTTTCTTCAGCTATATTTTTTAAACTTTCCTCATATGTCTTTGACTTTGGTTTCTTTGTCACACAAGAACTTTTTTGACTCACAAATTTTCCAGAGAATATTAACCTTAATTCCATTCGAATAGTTTGGGATGCAGTCCTCTTTGGGTCCTTTTATCCCAAGTCACAAATTTTATCCCAAGTCACAAATACCCACTTACATAAATTTAGAAAAGTTTTTGTTCTCATTTGTTATCTGTATATATAAAAGGCTAAGTGACCACCAACTGTAGGTCTGACTGACTGACCAGCCAGTAATATGACATATGGCAATCCTATATAATAAAAGCCTAATATGCTAAGTGTCTGGTTGTCCAATGACTGGTCGACTGTTCAGCCAATCAAAGTGTAATATGCTAGTGATATGCTAAGGCCACTCAACTGCTTGCTATGATGCCCACCAACCACCAGAGGGCAGATGCTCCAACTAGTTAGGTTAGCCAATCGGACTGGGCAAGACGGGACACACCCTGTATCCCTCCCATTGTCCCTCCTTGATCATGCACTGATAGGGTCCCTAGACCTGGCCTGAGCCCTCTCGCAATCCAGAACCCCTCAGGGGATGTCAGAGAGCCAGTTTCAGACCTATCCTGAAGGCCACTCCCCTCGGTAGGGCGCCAGACACAGGGCTCACAGCTGGCCAGCACTGGTATGGCAGCACAAGCCTCTCCCTATTGGGACTTACTGGGCACAAGGCCATGGAAGGTGCAGTGTGGCCACGATAAGCGGGAGTGGCAGATAGGAACCACAGGCAGTGTTGGATTGTGGGTTTTGGCCCAATCCCTGCAGGCCACCCAAAGGGACCCCACCCATGCACGAATTTGTGCACTGGGCTTCTAGTTTTAAAATAAATGTTGACTCACACATGCACAATGCATATAAAATTCCCATCAATTTTCTTAATAGTTTTACTCCTTAAGGAATGCCATGTCATAAATTAAAATTAAAAGCAGGTACAATGATCATGCTACTGAGAAATCTTAATAGTAAAAGGAGTCTTTGTAATGGTACTAGATTTATTATCAAAACATTGAGACCTGCCAAAACCGGTTTGGCTCAGTGGTAGAGCGCCGGTCTGCGGACTGAAGGGTCCCGGGTTCAATTCCGGTCAAGGGCATGTACATTGATTGCGGGCACATCCCCAGTAGGGGGTGTGCAAGAGGCAGCTGGTCGGTGTTTCTCTCTCATAACGTATCTAGCTCTCTATCCCTCTCTCCTCCTTTCTATAAAAAAAAAAAAATCAATAAAAATATATTAAAAACAAAAAACAAAAAAACATTGCGACCTAACACAATTGAAGCTGAATTATTAACAGGATCTGCAGAAGGACAGATTGTTCTGATTCCAAGAATTGATTTGTCCCATCTGACACTCATCTCCCATTAAATTAATTTGGAGACAGTTTCCCGTGATGCCAGCATTTGTGATGACTATTAATAAATCACAAGGACAAACTCTAGGCATAGTAGGAATATTCCTACCTGAACCCGTTTTTGGACATGTTCAGTTATATGATGCTTTTTCTCGAGTTCCAAGAGCATTTGACATTAAAGTTGTAAATTCTTCATCACAAAGGAAATTAATCAAGCACTCTGAAAGTATTTTAATGCTTAATGTGGTATAGAGCGAGATATTGCAATAAGTTTAATCAATTTATCAGTCATTGTTTTTATCAATGTTTTTATATAATGCTTTTGTTTTTATAGCATGTCTTTGTTGTTATTATATCATGTTATTGTTTATTAATTAATCAATTTAGATATTATCTTCGTATATATTTTACTAATTTTCTTTAATCTCTGACACTTCTATCATAGAGAAAGGGCAAATAGTGATATTAAAATATTTATTCTAATTAATTTCCTTTCAATGTGCACAAATCCAAGCACCAGGCCACTAGTATAGTTAATGTTTGTGATCTCCATGATTTAGCAACTGACTATATTGCTTACTTTAATAGATCTTTAAAGGGCTTATCTATAACACCAGCATTGGACACCTATGAAGTCCTACCTGAGATTAAGCATTAAATATGTATTTTTGGTCTGATTTTAAAAAAACGTATAAGGATCTTAAAACTGGCATTGATCAAAGTCATTTCAGACTAATGTATCTTCTCCAAATAGTGCTTCCTGCTTCAAAATAAACATAAGTTTATGTAAATTTGCATGAGGCAAATCTCTCCTCTCTGAGGGGGATGAGGGCTGAGAATGGGAATGTTTGTGTCTCCATTACCTTAGATTTGGACTTTTGGAAATGCCACCTGGCCTGGTAAGCCGTCTATAATTTATAGTGAGCTTAATTTGTTATTGGCACTGAAGTTCCAAGAGCTGGAACATATATTCAGAATCAGTGTGTACACTGGGGAATCGTGGAGTTGGCTCCAGTGTATAAGAGTTGATTCTTTCCTTCTAGGCACTCTGGCACCTGCCGTGAGCTGCTGGGCACTGCGGGGGCGGAGGGGGAGAAGCACCGGGATGCCAGTGGGTCCTGGCCTTGAGCAGGATCCCCCACAGCCCACCTCCTGACCAGCTGTAGTTTACGTGTCATTGTTGAGGACCGACCTGTTGCCATCACAGCCAGCCAGTGTGCGGTTCTGACCTGGGTGGAAAAGCCAGATTTGCTTTGGATGACACCCAGTGGTGAGGACAGTTAGGACTACAGAGACCGGAGCTGGAAGTCAGTGCATTTCCCACAGCTAGACTTTTCTTCTGGAAACAGTCTGCCAGGAGATGACAACCAGCCAAAGAGCACCGGCAGCATTCCAGAATGTGCTGTTAAAACACCCTTGAAATGTCGTGCTCAGAATTGGCTCTTCTCTCCAAAAGGTATGAGCGGCTGGAAGACCAGCTCCACGACCTGACGGACCTGCATCAGCACGAGACGGCCGACCTGAAGCAGGAGCTGGCCAGCATCGAGGAGAAGGTGGCCTACCAGGCCTACGAGCGCTCGCGGGACATCCAGGTGCCTTTCCTCCCCGCCCTGGGCGCTCACTGGGCTTCTCCCGGCACTTAAGTCACTTAACAAACCAAGTGCATACCCCTCAGCAAGCATTTCTCCTCTACCTTATTAACGCCATCAACTCATGTTATAGACCAGCAATTTTCAACTTTTTTCATCTTGTGGCACACATAAACTACTTATTAAAATTCTGTGGCACACCAAAATTTTAGTAAGTAGTTTTTATATTTTTGCCAATCTGACAAAAAAAAAAAAAGTGTAATTTTGATTCATTCACACCAGAGGGTTATTGTTGTGTTGGCTATTGTCATTTTTTTATTTGAAAATCTAAGGGAAAAGAGATCAGTGTCCCTGACTAAATGGGCAGAAATTCTTGTAGCACATCAGATTAAAGTCACTGTTATAGGCATTACTGGGTAAAAGAAGCTATATTCTGTTTACTTTCTGCCTAAATTAATTAACAAATTCTTATTATCTAGCCCCCCACCCCAAGCTCGTCACCTATACCCTATTCTCCCCACCACAACCAAAATTTTTACAAATTACGTAAAACAAATCTTGCTTTTATCATTGGAAGATTATAGCTTTTGAGCACCTTCACCCATTTTGTTCCTGCACCTCCGGCAGCCACCAGTCTATCCCGTTTCTGTGAGTTCAGTTTTTTAGATTCAACATATACTTGAGAACATACAGTATTTGTCTTTCTCTGCCTGGTTTATTTCACTTAGCATAATGCCCTCAAGGTCCATCCATGTCAAATGGCATTGCGAGTGGCAGTTATGTCCTTCTTTCTCTGGCTGCATAGTATTCCATTGTAGATATAATGCCACGTTTTCTTTATTCATTCATCAGTAAACACTTGGGTTGTTTCCATGTCTTGGCTACTGTAAATAATGCTGCAGGGAACATGGGGTGCAGATGCCTCTTCTAAATACTAATTTCATTTCCTTTAGTTATACACCCAGAAATGGGATTGTTGGGTCCTCTGATAGTTTTACCTTTAATTTTTTTAGGAACTGCCATACTGTTTTCCACAATGACTGCACCAGTTTATATACCCTCAGATTGCCTTATTTAAAAAAAAAAAAAAAATTATACTCTTCGAGTAATGTTCAGCTTCATGTTTGCAAATCTTCTTTGTAGCCAGTAATCATTTTCTCCAGACCCACTTTATAAGGGAGAAAACTAAAGCATAGAGATTTCTCCCACAGTGTGTGAGCTGGAGGGTCAGCACCCATGTTTTGTTCCACTCTATGTGGAGGATGGAGCTTGGATTAATCCCACATGTGTATTTGGGCAGTTCTGGCATCAGATAGAACTGGTAGGAAATGCTTGCCTGGGGACACGGGGCCGGAGACGCTGAGGATGCCTGCCCCTGCTCTGGGCTAGAAGACAGCTTCAGCACTGACCGGCTTCAAAAAATGTGAACCCATTTAAGTGTGCAGTGCTGCCAGGTGAACAATGCAGGTTTATTAGATCGTTCTGTTTTAGAACATGTCTGGGTCCTGGCTCTACTACTTACTGTGTGGCCCTGGACAGCTCAGCGTTCTGTGCCTCAGTTGCCTCATCTGTGAAATGGAAATATGAATGAACTTTGTCTCCTAAGGTTGTCAAGAGGATAAGACTGAATAATAACGTAAAATATAATACTTAAATCTTTTCCGGACACATGAGCAGTCAAAAAATAAATGTTGACCGTTCTTTTTAGTATGTAGGTGGGTAGCCATTTTCCTCAGGGCTTTTAGCAGTTGGGCCTGCTCAGCTTTGTCCTATTTGTTGTGTCTTTTGTTCACAGGGTTATTCCAGAGGATGCGTTAGTGTAGATGAGGGTGGTTGTTGCCTGTAGAGTTGCAAGGATTTGTTGTTATTTTAAGCAATTGAGTATTGGGGTTTTTAACCCTGAATCCCAATGAAAAGAGTTTAGAAGATAACCCTGTCCTTTGTCTTTATTCTCAATAAATTAAATACTGGGCCCAAGGAAGGTTGTGGAGCTGACTATCTCCTAGTGTGTGCTGTCACTAAAGGTCCTTGCAATGCAGAGCTTAATTTTTTTTTTCTTTTGGTTAAAAACAATTGGTAGCAGTTCTAAGACAATTCTAGGATCATTCTATTTATATATGTAATTCATCTACCCAATCAAAGATAGATGAATTTGCCTACAAAGTTGGTCTTTTGTTCTATTTATCACTTTCCCATGCCATGTCCTAAATGAAGGGAACCTTGAGCCAAAACATTTGAAAATATATATATATATGATGTGGGGTACTTGTGTGTCATTGTAGAGAGCAGTATTTTTTAGAACATGAAGATCTGAAGAAGTTTTACCTTTTTTGTTGGTAGCCTGTGTAATGAAAGTTACTATAGTAACAGCAAACCCTGTTCTTGGGCCCATAGAGTATATTCAGCAGAAGAAAAGCAAATCGTGTTAAATCTTTGTGCTATTAAAAAAAAAAAACCTGAGTTAGACAATAGGCTAGTGAACTAAAAGGGGCTCACTATACCCCCTTCTAGTTAGATGCTTTTCTCTCAAGAGACTAAGGGTTTTTCTCTTTCAAGCCTCAGATCTCATAACCCAGTCTCCTGAGTATTCAGCTAGTATGTAGCACCTGCTGCATGCCTGCCCACCTGCTGCATGCCTGCCAGGGGTCTGCTGGGGATTGCAGCTCAGTGGGCCTACTCCTTATCCTCACGCAGCTATGGCCTCTTGGTCAGGGAGAAGGGCTAAAGGGAGGCTTGGCGTAGTCTGATGTGTCAGGAAGACTTCCCTCAGGGTGTAACAGTTAACTTGTGGCCTAAAAGAGAATGGGAGGTCCACAGATGAAGAGGGGAGGGAGTGGGGAGGCAGACATGCCAGACACCTGCACTGCATATGCAGAGCCCTGAGTGTGCTCCTTCTCAGAACTCGGAAAGCCAAGATGGCCAGAACACTGAGCAAGAGTGTGGCTGGGTCTGAGCCATATTAAAATGGAAGAAGTTTACAAGGAGTGACAGCAGATGTGCATCTTTCAAAGATCACTTGAGCTGCTGTGTGGAAAGTGGATTCATGGGGTTGAGACTCAGGAAGGTGTGTGAAAAAAATTTCTGTATTTGTTGTAGGCAAGAGATCCTGGTGGCTTAGATTGGAATGGTGACTGGGAGGGGAGAGAAATAGACCTGGATGTTGTATCGACGGGACTGGGTGATGATGGTATTGATGAATGCTTCTCAGGGTTCTGGCCTGAGGAACTGGGAAAAGGAACTGGAAGGGAAACAGGACTGATGGTAGGTATAGGTGAAGGTGCAATACATGAATCCACATTTGGACATAGTGCATCTGAGGTGCTTTTAGGGAAGCTCAAGAAGTAGATATATATGAGTCAGTCTTAGAAGAGACAGCTGGGGCAGAGGTATACCTGGCATCATCTTGTCTGTGTCATTGAAGTCTTGGAAAGAACGAGATCTAGCGAGCATGCATGGCCTCACATCGTGTCTTGAGACACAGGCGAAGCAGAGCTGTCCCACAGTCAGTCCTATCCCTAACTTTCTCTTTCCATGCTCAGCCAGTCTGTAATGGGTGGACACAGTCTGAGCAGTGAAATAAGGACTAGAATTAGAGATACTACCTACTCGATGGCTAGAAGTAGACAATTGTCCCAAAATGGAACCCTAACTCCCCCGCTTCCCCACCTCTACCCCTGTTAGTCCCTTGTGGTATCAGCAGATGCCAATGTGCACTTTATTTCATACGTAGGTGGAGTCAGAATGCCTAATCCTAATTTCTCATCTATGTTGTTCTATGGTTGTGTACACATGCTTCTTCTGCCCATAAATAACGATAAAATGAGCCTTGTTTTCTTTCTTTGCTGTCATCATCATCTTCATCATCATCGTCAGTTTGGCTGTGAGGCTGCCTCGGCATCAGCATTCTGAGCTGGGGCTCTCCTGCACTTCCAGGCAGGCCATCGCAGGTTGCCCATGATGGCACAGCATCTGATCCTTGCTCTGCCTTTTGCCCACAGGAAGCCTTGGAATCCTGCCAGACTCGCATCTCTAAGCTGGAGCTCCACCAGCAGGAGCAGCAGGCTCAGCAGACAGACACGGCGAACGCCAGGGTTCTCCTGGGGAAGTGCATCAACGTGGTGCTGGCCTTCATGACCGTCATCCTGGTGTGTGTGTCCACCATCGCCAAGTTCGTCTCGCCCATGATGAAGAGCCGCTTCCACATCATTGGCACCTTCTTCGCTGTGACTCTTCTCGCAATATTTTGTAAAAACTGGGACCACATTCTGTGTGCCATTGAAAGGATAATAATACCCAGATGAGGCCGCTGGTTCCCGTCTTCAAGTGTCTCCTGGTTTTTAGTTTAAAGAGAACTCTGTGCATACTACCAAATTTTAACATGAGCAGTTGTGCCGATGAGGATTACCAGAAGGACTGGGACTGTGTTGTAAATAACAACAACTCTCTTATCTCAGCAGCCGTTGCCAGCTCGGTCCCCGTCCCTGGTTATGTGAATCTGTCCAGAGCTCCCATGTTACTCACTGCCTTAATCAGACCAGATTTCCTGCCCAGCTGACTCGCCCGGCAAGGTAGACCTCTGGTTATTGAGCACTCGGCATAACTGGTGACTCAGAAGAAAATTTCTGATACAGATTCTCTCAGATCTGTATCAGAAATGAGCTCACCATTGTTAGTGGTCACGTTTGCCCTGAGTCACATAGCAGCAGAGATGTGGCATGACTCGGGGAAGGGGAGAAGGGCTGGCGTTGGCTGTGTGGACCACTCCTGGCCTATGGAAGTCCAGTGAACCCCGTGTAACCCATCCCACAGTTGACCATCAGTCCCAGGCGTGCCCAGTGTCCTCAGTGCTCAGTTGTGTGTGGCTCTCTGTAACATGGAAACCTTTCTTACACACCTGTTTATCCATCCGAAATCTAACTAGTTGTTCCGTTGCACTTTACGTGGAGAGACAGGAGGACGTGTGAATGGTACTTGTGCCTTTTCATACCCACAGAGCCGTCCACCTGATTCCTTCTGAACTGGCTATCGAATGCCCAGCCTCCAAAGCATTCAGAAAGGTTCCCAAACCCCTCACTGGGCTGCGGCTTTAACATCAATTTGGGGTCCTGTCAGCACTACTCCACAGGCTGTGATTCAACAAACCTTAATTGTGACAGACCCCCGGTGAGGGTGTGATTCACTGTATTCGCAGGTCTGTGAGGGGTTTGAAGCTTACTCGGTAAACGAAAACACATGATGCAGGGGGGTTTCTTTAGGAAGGAAAACTGAATCATAATTTATAAAGCTGAAGGTACTCGGGCAGGAGCACTGGAAGCAGGAGGAAATACGACACGGCAGCTAGCTCGGTGGGCGCCGTTCGCCTGGATGAAGAGTGAGAGGATCCTGAAAGACCAGCGGGAGTAAGATAAATTAGACGCAGTGTCTGAGCCAAGGGTGCCATCTGTCTCCTGGCATCTCACTGAAAATAAGTCCTAGGAGTGGCCACATGCCCCTGAGGTAGCAGCATCCAAAAGTTCACATCCCAGCCCTATTTGGGGGATGCCACTCACTCTTCAGCCCAGTGAGGCTTTCCTTTAAACGGGTTGCTCCTGTACATGAAAGGAAGGGGGGGAGGGGAGTATGGGAACTGCTGTCTAGCCCCTCTTCTCACCACCCGCTCTGTTATCTAAAGACACAAGATGCGTGTTAGTGTACATTTTCTTCCAGAAAGCTTCAAATTGCCTGGGTATAAATTAAGTGCAATATTTTGCAAAGAGCTGCTTTTAGGGAAATCTTGTGAAAGAAATGTGACAGTGCCATGGTTTGAGAGAAGGTAATAGTCGAGCATGTGGCACAAGTCCAGTGTGCGTGAGACTCCTACAACTCAAGCTTTTGTTTTTAAGTTTACAATTCAGTGGTTCTAATCAGTTCACAAACTCATACAATTGTCACCGTTATCTAATTCCAGACTCAAGCTTTTTAAAACAATAAACACGATTTCATGAAATCGTTGGCTAGAGAGTGTTTTGGATGGAGGGAAGAGGGAGTTACTGAGCCCACCCCATCTCACGGCCGTCTCCTTTCGCTGTCAGACTCGCCCTGGGTCGCCCAAGCTGGCTGCTAACATACTGCGGTCCTTCATATCCAGGGGACAGAAACAGGTTCCAGGTCTAGGGGAGGGAGAGGGAGGGAACGGTGTGCTTCCTTTTGCTTTATGTTTTCATGGCCAGCATTCCCCTTTGCCGGTGGGCATCATGTAAGGCTCTGGGGGGGCATCTAGGAAGACATCAGCCTCCTCCTGCCACCACATTCCACTCCGTGGCTCAGCCCAGCAACCTTGCAGGGACTTCCCAGGGCTGTGATCCACGCGTCCCCCACAGGGAAAATGAAAGAAGTGGGAGGCAGCACACTCCGGCCCTCCAGTCTGGAGCAGTTATCAAACTGCTTGAAATGCTCTATTTGAAATAGCGTGGCATCTAATTCATTGCACCTTTTCATGAATTTTTTTTCCAGAATTTATATTTTCGGTGCCTCTTATCAAACATCAGAGGACTTGTTTTTCCTTGGATATGCTCAGCCTACACGGCATAGTTATTTTAGAGTCTTGTTGAAAGTTCATGAAGCTTTCTAATCAGATGACATACCCCAAGGAGACTCTTCTTTTTCTCTTCTCATGGAATAAGCCCTCCCACTGCATGAGGAAATTAAAGTTTATCAGTACACAATGGGAAGTAGTAATCAAGCTATGACATAGGCTGGAATTGGATATTTAACTGACATTTAAGTCAGCTAATCCCTTTTCAAAGCCTTGCATCAGTAGTAAACATTGTACATACGTACTGAGGAGGAAAGCCGGCTGGGTGGGGGAGCACCTGCTCATCCTGTGAACTCATTGAGTGGTTTTGGGTGCTGACATTTTTGGTGAGATTATTTTCGTGATCACCAGGACGATAGCTGAGGACAAAACAAAAGCCTAAAAAATACTCCCTGGTGGGTTTTGAATTGGCTGTTCCAGTTTATATTTTGAATATGATTAAGCCAGAACAAAAGACACCCCCCCAAAATAAATAAATAAATAAATTAAATAAATTCAATCCTACAGTGAAGCAGTAAATAAAAGTACACACTTGCAGATTTGGGGCAGTGAAAGTCTAGCATGTCCCGTTAGTAGTTTTACTCATGCTTGCTATCATCTCTTGGTAGATGGAATCTTCTGGAAACCTTCCCCCCCTTTTTCATTTCAGCCCATCGTGCTGCCGCCCCTCTCAATCACTTAGCATCTGTGTGATTTTAGCCCCTCTCCTGCTTTGTCATTCTTATTTTTATTGAAATATTGCTCCACTGTGTGTGTTCATTGCCCAGCCGTTCTGTCTAGTGAATCAGGTTTAATTATGGGCTCATTGATAGGGATGGAAACTCGCTTCCCTCCGGCAACTAATTACTTTTGTCCTCTTCATTTGGATTTTAAATACCAAATTATTTTGCATTGAATGGGAACATTTTTTTTGTATTGAATCCAAATATAGTTGTATTGGTTTGAAAAACAACAACATTTAATTATACTTATTTATGTGGACATGTGTGATTAACCTCTTTTGCATATTTCTATAATTCCGAGGAACCGGTGGTGGGATAAAGTGGCATTATTTAAAATTCGGGCTTTATCTGGAGAGAAGTATTTCAAGAAGTTTAGCACATGTACTAAGAAAAGAGTTACTAAAAAAAAAATAAGCCACTGAAAACAATGAGATTGGCCTGTTTACATCAGAAGTAGTTAAGAAGCTAAAAGAAAAAGGTAGTTCAAAGAGTTTGATAACCCATAAGCTATAAAGCAGAATTAACCTATCACTTTCTAAAGGAAGTACAATTTCTCTGTTTATAAGAAGCTGGGAAGTCATGTACCTGAATTGTTTTAGGAATGATTAATGCTTTGCAGTTTTAATTTATGTGTTATTTAAAGCGTGTCTCCCGCTGTGCTTGTCCTAAGAGAAACGTTTCAACAAGACGTGCTCCGTGTTTAAGACGTGTTTGGGCGCTAGTCACTGGCTCTGAAAGTACAAATTGGAAATGCTTACTATGAGATCCGCTGCATAATTAACACTTGGTGGAATACTATTCAGTTTTATGTCGGCCTAAAATTGTAAATCCTCTGTAGGATCATCACTCCATTCAAAGCAGGTGCCATTATTTTTTTTAAATATACACTTGATGTTAGCTTTGAAGTGAAATAAAGAACTAGATTTCTTAAATTTTCACATTTGTCAGAGCCAATATCAATAGACATTTGTGTATCACCAATTTTTAATAGCCTTTATTTCTTGTTTCTTTGAATAGACTTTATTTCAAGCAAACTTGATCAGAAGGTACAGAGATGTGTCCATTCCACATGCACAGCTTCTGCTACTGTCAACATCCCCTGCCACAGGGTACACTTGTTACAGTTAATGAACCTGCATTCACACTTCATTATCTCCCAAAGTCCATAGTCTACATTACAGTTCACTCTTGTGCCTTCTATGACTTTGGACAAATGTACAATGACATGTGTCCACCATTACAGTTTCATACAGAATAGTTTCACAGCTAAAAGCCCTGTGTTCTGCCAGTTATCCCTCCCTCCGCTACCTCCCTTATTCAGCTTATAAACTACTTCCACGTCTATCGCATACAACGTTATTAATGTGTGATACGCAGCCCATTCCTCAAGCCCTCGTGGGGAGGGAGTTACTTTCTAACAGGTATGACCATGAGATGTAGAAGTTTATAGGACACAGAGGGCCATGGTGATACACAAACACCCTGGGCTTTGGTAGATGTGGGATGACAGCTAACATTCTTTGAGCATTTACTATACACAGTGCTTTGTGCCAGATACTTTGCCTATGACGCCAAATGTAATTGTTCCAACACTCAGTAAGATAGGCAATCTTAGCCCTGCCTAACCGATGGGGACGCTGAGCTTAAAGAACCAGCGGCATGGTGCAGCGGGTATTGGGGGAGCTATTTATTCAGCCCAAGCTGGTGTGAGAACCCACACTGGAAAGCAGGATCCTGCGCTATAATAGGAGGGACTGAGCTACTGGCTTCTAGTCACTCCCAGCTATCAGCTCCTTCGAGCTTGATGACTCATGGAGCCCTGGAAAGTCCACTTTTAACCCTAGGACTGGAGCAGTCAATACCATTATTGCAAATTGTGCATTTATACTGGTACCTTCGCCCCACTGGCATACTGTGGTAAGGATGATTGCCTGAAGTCTTTGAAGTCTTTAAAGAGACTGGCTGCCAGAGCTGTGGATGAAGAGAATGGAAAGCTGTTAATTAA